TGGTTAACAGGATGTGCTTATTTGGTTTGAGCTGGATACCCACCAACAGGTGAGCAGCTGGATGAGTGAGTCTTGAGCTGAAATAAGAGGTCTGACTTGGGGTTAGTAGTAAGCGTGCACTTTATGTGTTGAGGGACGGTGCTCTAAGAGGAGAGAGTGATGAGGAGACGGGTGAGGAAGAAAAGATAAGAATACCAATACTGAGAAACAACGCTAGGCACTATGTTTCGGTGTATTTTAAAGTAGAAAACACCAGATATAAGTTATTACCTTTCACATAATTTACTTCTTGGTTTCATAATCTGTTGAGATACTTAGTCAATGGATTTTTAAAGAACTACATTAGAATTCTGCATATTGACAAATGGCGGTGAATATGTGGCTAACTTACATTGTTCACCTAGACAACCTTTCGCATCACCCGGTGGGACAGTGACGTCGTTCCACTTTGACTTGGGTTAGAGATGCCTTTGACTTTGACCTCGCACAACCTGTGCACACTCTAATGTCCTCTGTTAACCCACTCCTCAGCCCAGCAGCAGACGCAGCCAGCAAGGCGGATCTCCTGCTCCATCAGCATCTCTCCGTTCCTCCTTAAGTCTAAAACTCTCTTTTCTCTTGGCTCTTCCCATTCCAGTGAGGAGGACGAGGAGTTGCATAGTAAGTAAGCAGCTTGGGTGTCCAGTGGCTGTTTCTCCACATTTGCCCAGCTCGGAATCTGTTATGAGCTTCGTACTAAGCAGCTGTTTGGGACTCTTACCCCTTGCATGCTCCCTTTCCTAAATCACTTGCTTTCATGCTTTGCTTAGAAATATAATTCAGAGAAAATAATGGTGGTCTGCTGTGCACTGCCTGCACCGATTGGTCCAGTGGCCTTCTGATCCAACATGAACGAATTCTTCCCAGAAAAGGGACTATGGAGTTCTGATTGCACCCAGGGACCTTTGTAATACTAAGTACAAATTTCAAAAACTTTACATTTGGTCCTTTGATTTCATTTCTCCTTCTTTCACTTCTCTGTTTCATATGACAGATAGTGAGATGTCCATCTTTGGCATTAATAAATAGTGCTATGTCTTTTTTTTTTTTTTTTTTACCTGTTAAGACCGTTTCTTGAAAAATGTCTTTCCTTTGAGATTGGACCCTATATTTTAACCTGTTGAAGCTCTGTTTTTCTTCTTTGTCAGTCTTTTTAGTAAGTTACTTGATAGTTCTAGTTTTTAAATTTTACAGTTATAAGAGTAAACGTGGGAAGGAAATGAATTCCCATTCTTTCAGGAAAATAATTGTCTGCAGTTGTCCCAGAATGTGCTGGTAATAGTATTTTTTTTAATGAAAATTATAGTCATAGGAGTCATACTAAAATTAGAGCATACTAAAATTACCGGTGAACTATTTTATGTCATCTACTTACTTAATACTGTAAATCATCTACAGTTCATAGTACCAGGGTTGCTCAGATAGTTAAGGATTCTAACACTTGCCAAAATGTTGAAAGGCTGAACTCACCCAGAGGCACCTGAGAAGTCCGGCTTGGTGATCTTCTGAAAGGTCACAGCTTACACATCACACGAAACAGTTCTGCTCTTCACACTTGGGGTCACCATGTTGTTGTTATAAGCCATCAAGTCAGAACCAACTCGTCACTGACCCTCAAACAGGTTTTCACAGACAGAGCAGCTGATAGAGTCAAACTTTGTGCCTTTGAGTTGGAAGCAAAAAATCTTACCATTAGGCCACAAGAGGTCGGAAGGAGTTGTTGATAGCAACTACCAATAACCGACAGTTAATACAGCCACATGGTTGAGAATCCCTATTCCCATACTACTTTCTTAACCCAGAATGTCCACAGTATTAAAATATTGCACATGGTTGTTTTGCACATGGTTCTTTTCTTAAGGGGGAATGACGTATGCATAGTAACAGCAACAAATTTTAGTTCGT